GTGTCCCGCGCGCTCATATGACCTTATGCAGTTGCGAGTGCCGTAAAACACTTTACAAAAAAAAAAAGAAAAAGATATCTTACGTTTACTGCTTGAGACAGTGATGCGCCCTGCCTACCGCTGAGCCACCTAGGCAAGTGAGTACTATTGTACATGTAAATCTCCTTATTGTATATAATAACATGAACTTTTCCGAATCACTTTAACGATGTACAGGCAATTTCTCTGCATTATGCACTCACATTCAATATTAATACGTTATTAATATGTTTAAGACAATATGTGTAATGATTGAGCAACTGTTACATACAGTATTTTGCAATGTAGTAATCGTAATAGGTTTCGACTTTAAACAAGTAATGTTTCTGGGGTTTTTTTGTTTGTTTTGTTTTGGGTTTTTTAATTGGACGGGCTTTACTGGGGCAAATTATGTTGAAAAATTACGTCTTGGGATACGTTAATTGTGAGTGGATGTGTGTGTGTGTGTGTGTGTGTGTGTGTGTGTGTGTGTGTGTGTATGTGTGTTTGGGGTGTGTGTGTGCATGTATGCATGTGTGGTTGCAAGAGTTCTCCGCTGCCGACATAAAGTCGAACTTGTCCACGACGACCACCCATATCGCATTGTCCAGGAGAAAAGTGGTCAACTTAGACAGATGATCCTCTTGGACAGTCTCACTATAATCTAGAATGAAAAATGCATGGGGTAGAGGTGGGAAAGTGGTCGTTTGTGCAGATGAATGTCTTGACCAGGTGGTCGTCAGGCCAGGTTCAATAAAAAATCTCGAGCATCAGACCATCATAGTACCTCTTATGAGGATCCATCTTTTATCTGTTAGTGTTTCGTGTGGAAAAGAACCTCGACGATCAAGCCTCAAGTAGTATCACTTATGAGGATGCATTCTTTATCTGTTAGTTCTCCATTCTGTAACGAACATCAACCATCAGGCTGTCATGACACCTTAAACTTACGTCTAGAGCAGTGGATCAACTCCTATCTGTTAATGTAACCCAGTCACTACCCTGTTTGTGATACTTGGTAAACTGGTATCCTCAAAACGATTCTTTTTTTTTTTTTGGCGAAGGAAGGCTTGCCAGTTCCGCGAGGTATCACTTTTCAACTTTCCAACAATTTGTTTACATTTGCTGGATTCGGATAGTAAGGGGAAGGAGTAGGGTTAGGTTTAGAGGCAGGGTTACCCCTAACACTACACTAACCCTACCCCAATTACTTATTGCATAAACCACCGGATAAGGCTTATCTCTACCCCTACCCCTACTCCTATCCCTATACCTATCTCTACTCCTACCTCTCATTACCCGAATCCAGTTTAGGGATAGCCTTGCCTCTACTTCTACCCCCTACCCCTATCGCTTATTCGCCGAACCCAGCAAGCTAGCATTTGTAAGTATAACGTTATAAAGTGGAAAATTACCAAAAAGGAACTCAACGGTTCCTAATTCTTTTTCTTAAGTAGATCCAATCTCTCTACTTAGTTGAGCAAATTTGACTCAGGAAATTGAAGCTTTTATTGAACATTCGTTTGCATTAGTAAAGCGTAATTCTTCGTTTTATTTTGTTACAGTTTGATCTTGTGTGTGACAACGCCATGAAGAGATCCCACGCAACAATGACGTTTTATGGCGGCTTTCTCATCGGAGTTTTTGTTCTAGGCGCTGTGTCTGACATGTATGTTTTCTTAAAATATCTCGTTGGCCAGTTGTTCAGAAATACACATAGTAAGCCATAAATTTTGAAAATTATTTTTCTGCCGTTTTAAAATTATATTGATAAAAGTCAGAACAGATACGTAAAAGGCACACTTGTTAAATTAATGAAGAAACAGTATATTTTTTACTTGAAGAAAATGTTGCTTTCTGGACTCAGAACTTTGGACAGCTTGCTAACGAAATTTCATTATCTCAGAATTACCAAGCTCTATCTGCTCAGGGCTTAGTTCTGAGAAATTTTACGTCAAACGTTTTGAGTTACACAACATGTCAAGCTTTTTTCGAATGCAATTCTTTGAATATCTTGATAACGACTCCGAACTACCCTACGGTTTTGATAGTTCAGATAGAACATTTGATTTCTGACCTCATGGTCTTTGTAACTCAAAACCGCCAAAAATATATAAGACGGAACTTTCTAATTCTAAGGTAGCAATTTATTGATGAAATATTAAGAAATTTCAAGGCTGCTTGTGCCTAAATAGCGAGACACCCTCTCCACTACCCCTCAAAACATTATATTACTGTATATAGAAAATGAACAGACATGTGAACGTCAGATTTCAGAATACTAAACAGCAGGGTTGGGTTGATTTGAATCAAGTTGATTTAAATCAGTTGATTTTTTTAAATTTAAATCAACTTGATTTTTAAAATAAAAACCA